ATTAGTTTTTGGTAAATATTTGTGCATATTAATCACCTAATTTGCATAATTAACCAATTTACAACTTTCACACTGATATCTCGGGTACTAATCATCACATATCAATGAATGTTTATACATGAATGCTGTAGGACAATAGACAGACCTGGATAATTGTGGGTTAAAATCTGTACATATTAATTACCCAATTTGCATAATTAACCAATTTTAAGCTTTCACACTGATATCTAAAGTACTAATTTCCATTTTAATGAAACTTAGTACAAAGATGCTCTAGGACAATGTACAAACCTAATTAGTTTGGGGTAAAACTCTGTTCATATTATTTCCCTAATTAGCATAATAATTCATAATTTTTTTGGTTCTAATCACATTTCAATTAAACTTGGTACATAGAGTTTTTGTTACATTGCGCAGACCTCATTAGTTTTACAATCAAATCTGTTCATGTTAATTTTCTGATTTGCATAATTAGTTTTCAGCTAAGTAATTTCAAATTATATTTAATGTGTCTCCAATACTCTCAGCACATGGGAGTTCTTTCTAAGCTTTCTTTGATTTTATAAGTAGATATTGCCTGGTTTTATAAGTGAATATTGCCTGGTTTTATAAATGAATTTTGCCTGGTTTTATAAGTGAATTTTGCCTGGTTTTATAAGTGAATATTATCTGGTTTTATAAGTAGATATTGCCTGGTTTTATAAATGAATATTGCCTGGTTTTATAAGTGAATATTACCTGGTTTTATAAGTAGATATTGCCTGGTTTTATAAGTGAATATTGCCTGGTTTTATAAGTGAATATTGCCTGGTTTTATAAGTGAATATTGCCTGGTTTTATAAGTGAATATTGCCTAGTTTTATAAGTAGATATTGCCTGGTTTTATAAGTGAATATTGCCTGGTTTTATAAGTGAATATTGCCTGGTTTTATAAGTGAATATTGCCTGGTTTTATAAGTGAATATTGCCTGGTTTTATAAGTAGATATTGCCTGGTTTTATAAGTGAATATTGCCTGGTTTTATAAGTGAATATTGCCTAGTTTTATAAGTAGATATTGCCTGGTTTTATAAGTGAATATTGCCTGGTTTTATAAGTGAATATTGCCTGGTTTTATAAGTGAATATTGCCTGGTTTTATAAGTAGATATTGCCTGGTTTTATAAGTGAATATTGCCTGGTTTTATAAGTGAATTTTGCCTGGTTTTATAAGTGAATATTATCTGGTTTTATAAGTGAATATTGCCTGGTTTTATAAGTGAATATTGCCTGGTTTTATAAGTAGATATTGCCTGGTTTTATAAGTGAATATTGCCTGGTTTTATAAGTGAATATTGCCTGGTTTTATAAGTGAATATTGCCTGGTTTTATAAGTAGATATTGCCTGGTTTTATAAGTGAATATTGCCTGGTTTTATAAGTAGATATTGCCTGGTTTTATAAGTGAATATTGTTTTATTGTACTTACTTGTTTAGTAATTAACCTTTCATCATTAATACCAATGTACACAAAATTAATTTCACTCTATTTTACTTCTCAATAGGGAATTACCTTTCAAGAAAGGTGATATGATCAAATTAATTCGTCAAATTGACAAAAACTGGTATGAAGGTGAACACCACGGAAGAGTTGGTATATTCCCTGTCAGTTATGTGGAGGTGAGAGTCTGTTATATCTTTAGTATTTTCTCTGTGATATTCCATGTACACCATCACGAAAAACATGATTACTTTTTAACGCATCTGCTTAGTTACGTTCTTCATTATTGACTAAATAATTGATTTTGAACAGTAGGTTCTTTGCAATTGGGACAATATTGTGCTCTTCCTGTTATTCATGCATTTAAAAAATAGGCATCTTCTTTATTAATATCATCATAGTGATATCTATTTCTTCTTTATAAACTGTTAGGGCACATAAAGAACCAAAGTTTTCTCTGCAGAGATTATAATGACAGCTCCATAATTCGGTCTCCGTCCGTCCGTGTGTCCGTGCGTCCGTCCGGAGTCATATCTCAGAATCCCTTGGACCGATTCCGTTCATTCTATGCATGTGCCTAGTACTTTATGTGGGACATATGCACATGCAGTGGTTTAGCGATTCGATTCAAAATGGCCGACTGGCAGCCATCTTGTTTTTTGAAAATGTTGTATTTTGGACATGCTTTGTCATTCAAACTTGGTACATAGATTACACATGTTAGGATACATGTCCATGACGATTTATTTCGCAATTGGATCAAAGATGGTCGACTGGCAGGCATCTTGTTATTGTTTTTTTATGCGGTACTTTATACATGTTAGGATGCATGTCCATTGCAATTTGTTTCAAAGGATGGCCGATTGACAGCCATCTGACTTTTTGGCCTTACTACTATATTTCCACAATTTATGTACCATTTTCATTCGTATTTGGCACATACATCATACATATCAGTGTGTTTCATAATCAGATCAAAGATGGCTGAATAATGGCTGTTTTTATTTTGGTCATATTACTATGACACGAAACACGTGTTTTGATGTAAATAAACAATCTGTTGTATACGCCACTTAGAACTCAAGTTTCACGCTCGCGTCAACCCCTTCGCTTTAATATGACGAGCACAAAGAAAACTTAAAGGGGACTGAGTCATTTTCAATGACTTGTTTTTTTTAAGATGGCAGCTTTTGTAGCAACCACCAATCAGAGTTTCATTAATATTGACCAAGCTTTCCAAAACTATTGTAAACATGATTGTCAGCCTCCCAAAGTAACATTTAGTAAATTTCACTCAGCGCTCAAATTGATCTATAATTTCATTATTGGTACTCAATCCCAGATTGACTTTCATTTATTAATCACAGGAGTGTAAGATCCACCAACATTAATCTCTGTTATCCTCATTACATTGATAGATTATGTCACCGGAACCAGTGAAGTCACCCATACAGCAACCTCAAGTAGACGTGTCCACAGAAGGCAAGGCTAGAGCCAAATACAATTTCAGTGGAGAAACCAACATGGAATTGTCATTTAAAAAGGTAAGAGCGCAAGCTGTTATTCTTACATCAGACATACAATTGACTTATTGCATAAACCAGGCAGCACTGTAATTATTACCCATCATCCACATTCCTAAACACACCAATGAACTTTACTGACTGAATTATAAGTTGCATCGTTTAATTTTCACTTGCCTGTACTACACACCTTGGGTGTTACTATTGCATTTTTGTTTAATCTTATTACATTTTATTTTTCTTTAATATTTTAATGAGTGTTATTAATTATCTGTCTCTTGCTGCGTAGGGTGACCAAATAACTTTGATACGAAGGGTTGATAATAACTGGGCAGAAGGTAGACTAGGAAATAGACGAGGTATATTTCCTGTATCGTACATTGAAGTTACTAAAGAACCTGGTAGGTCTACCTAATTTCGTGTCAAAATTATTTGCCTACAGTGTTTTACACCAGTCAACGAAGGAAATTGACTTCAAAAGTACTGAGAATTTGTATAGCGTTGATATTCCTTGTACAAAGAAGTGTGTTTTTAAAGTCCTCAATTATCATGTTTTTTAGCCTGTTGAAAAAATTGACATTCTCCTATTGGTCCTGTATTTAATGTATCAATATCATTATTAAAATTATATACAAAATGGATTTTCTCATAAATGCAAAAACATGTGATTTTACAGCTTCAAATGCCAACATTTACATATGATGGCTCTCAAACAATATCACAATCATCTTTGTTAGCGCAACCAAGACGGCGTACAATCCTACAAATCTAACAAAATACTATTATAAACAATGTAGATCATTAACGCAGAGATTATTATACAGTTATACACAATGTAAGTGTGTGGCATTTTATCCTCTCTTAAACCAACCAGTGTCACAGTTATCATGCTGCGACATCTTCGCTATGGGTCATGTCACATGTCATGGGTCACATGCAACATATACTCTGATCAAAACAACTAAAAATACAATCCCCATTATTTGAACATGTTGGGTGATCCAAATAACTTGATATACAATTTCATTTTACCTATTTCTGTCTCTTGTGGCAGATTGCCAAACAATTATGAAATCCTAAACAAAAATATTTGAATGAATAGGATTTAAAATTAAATCATTGAATGTGTGTGGTTGTTTTTCATCTCTACATCAGAAACTGTTTCTGCATTAAATTGCAGGAATAACGTCATAACAGCTAGGGAGTTTAGCTTAAAAAACAAAAACTTTAATAGGACAGTGTCTGCCATCTTTTGTAATCAAGACAGTTTATGTAGTTATAATACTGGTGTATCAAATCACTGACTGACTTCTCTTAGAATTAGAGACCTATGAAATCAGTGAAGTATGTTGAGAATTTAACACATGTATCAGTCATGATATCACAACCACTACATGACTGACATCTGTCTTACACTGTCTACGTAGACTTGTGACATCAAATTATAAGAAATACAACAAACATTTATTGTTATATAGTATATACCTTTATCTAGCTTGTAGTAATAGTTTAGGAGATGTCTCATGAGACATGTAGCTCATAATGCCAATAAAAACGTGATGTGTTTTCAGTGACAGATTTTATTTCTGTCATAGTACTGTAAAATCTGTATTAGAAGCTGCGGCTTCTACTAAAATGGTACAACACAACACAGGGATGCGGCTTAATTAGAGTATCTACACATATGAGAAATGATGAATTTTTGGTTCTCAATTGTTCAAAAATAATGGGTGCAACTTCTATTAGGAATGCAGCTTATAATACAGATTTTACTTTACTTTAAATTGTCCAATATATATACAGAAGAAAGAGTTCATATGTCAATAATCTGAAACACATTCAATGCTTGTGATGTAGTTTCTCCTATTAAATAAGGTTGAACGTACATTTTAACAAGTGAAATTACGATTGAAACAAATGCAAATAAGTCTTTGACAGGAATTTTGACTGCCCGATTTATAATATTTATAACATGTAGTTTTGTTTATACCAGATTTAACATTTGACCTCACCGACTGGTAAAATTATCCAGGGTCTTTGTATGCTTATTAATGTTTGTAGGTTACTGAACTTAGGGACACACCAGCATTGGTTTGGGGGGGTTGAGTATCGCTGTCTCCCTTGACCCCCTTTGTTGCAACAAGTTGGAAAGAAAGAGATAGAAAAACTTACTTTCTCCATCACATAATAATAAGTACACTGTATGTGCTGTCAACATTTTAGTTTTCCTCAATATTTCTATAATCAGTTTACTCGTATGGTTTTAAAGTATCAATGAAATATTTTTATTTGACCTTGATGAAATTCAGCTAATTTTTAGTAATCAACAAAAATAATAAAATTATTTTTTTGTATTTCCTATTGTTCATGTCAATACAAACTACAAGGTTGTTTGATAAAGTATTTAAGTGATGAAATTCAGCTAATTTTTAGTAATCAACAAAAATAATAAAATTATTTTTTTGTATTTCCTATTGTTCATGTCAATACGAACTACAAGGTTTTTTGATAAAGTATTTAAGGATGTAGTAGAGGTTATTGCTATTGCAATTGCATAGCACATTTCTGAAGCTTCATATTCTTTGAATCCCATCAAGTTATATATTTTTAGAAAGCTTATTTTTCAAATAATAAAAAATAAATATTCCTACAAAAAAATGGTACCGTGTAATCACGTGATCACTGTGCAAATAGAGAGGTGTTATTTTCGAAGAAACCGAAATAAGGCCAAAAAAATGATGTTCGCGGAATTCAGAGATACTATAAAAGGTTTGAATTTAATTTCCCAGTTCGTCTACTGTCGCGTGACCTAGATTTTTACCTCATAACACTTTTTAAAAACCATCGTCAACGTTGTTTTGAAATATGGTACCCTGTTTCAGAGTTCACATAGGGGAGAGTTGTGTCATATTTTCTAAAGTCAAAGTGGTAGACAAACTATTTTTGCCAGATTTCATTAGCAGCTATCAGAGAATACCTATGCCAAAAATCAACATCGTGGAGCAGCTGGGAGTCGGGTTCAACTCTCTACTAACCCCAAATACATGTTTACTTAAGCGTGAAAAATCACAAAAAATATAAAACACTGTATCTCAGATTTATTCAAAATGTATTACCCTCCTAAGCCATCTATACAATTGTTTTTTCAAGTTAAATGCATGCTTCATATATTCGTATAAGAGAATATGGAAAAATAGTAAATTTGATATTTTCAAAGAAAAAACCTCTACTACATCCTTAAGATAATGAACCCTACTTGCAGGGTTATACATGTAGCCGAACAATTGTACCTGACTTCATTGAAATAAAAAAAATAGTTGCTTGTCTGTAGGCATTCGTATAGTATAGACTTGTAGTTTATTTTTAGTTTATTTAGTTTATTTTTAGTTTATATTTAGTTTATTTTTAGTTTATATTTAGTTTTATTTTTAGTTTATATTTAGTTTTATTTTTAGTTTATATTTAGTTTTATTTTTAGTTTATATTTAGTTTATTTTTAGTTCATTTTTAGGTTATTTTTAGATTATTTTTTGTTGATTTTTGACTCCCGTGTGTGAAGCACACAATTGGAGTCTTTACAGTTAGTTTGTCTGTATGTGTGTATGTATGTCCGTCTGTTCCACTGATATCTCAAGAACCATACATCGGTTTTTGATGAAACTTGGTGCATATATGCTCTGGGCCAATGTGCAGATTTGATTAGGTTTTAGTAGAAATCCATGCATATTAATTGCCTAATTTGCATGATATTTAGCAAATTTTTAGCTGTTCCATGACTGTTCCACTGATACCTAAAGAACCACTCATTGGA